TTCATCAGGAAAGCCAGCAATGACAAGGTCCTCCCTCACAATAGCCCAAGAGAAACGGCAGCTCCCTAACAGCTTCCCAACAGCTTCTAACAGCCTCCCAACAGCCTCTAAACTTTTCTGTCTCTAGTTCTGCCTCTTATGCTGCTGGCAACAATCCTCAGGTGGGCCTCCCACACCCAGCACCATGCTGGTTCAGTTCATCCGAGTGTTACAAGTTGACCACCAGTTGTCAGTCCACCACAGTTTGTTGGTTGGTTTTTTTTTTTTTTTTTTTTTTAGATGAGGTCTTGAGAAGGATGGTCTTAAATTTGCAATTCTCCTAACTCAGCATCCTGAGCACCCAGAACTACAGGCATGTGCCACTACACTTGGGTGTACGTGTGTGTGCACATGTGCGTGCGTGCGTGTGTGTGTGTGTGTGTGTGTATGTTTAAAGACAGGGTCTCAGTATATAATCTAGGACAGCCTTGAACTTGTTAGGTAGTCCAGGCTGGCCTTGAACTCATCTTCTCTCAGCCTTCTGATGCCTGAGATTATAAGCAGTAGCCTTTTCATGGTTAACCCACTCCTTCCAGTCTTACAATTCCAAGGCCTAGAGGGAGAACCAGCTGTTTTAAAATTCTGGCCTCCTGCTTCTTCCTAGGTGGTCTCTCTGGGCTTGGCATAGCAGTCCCTTGAAGACAAGGCTGGGAGAACCTGGGCTGACTCAGAGACATGGTGTATCTCTCCTTAGACGGTAGAAATCTGGACTTGGGGCCTAGCTCTGACCGGGGAGAAATTATTCTTTTTCTCTTTAGGACCAGGGTCTATGTTTGCAACATGAAGTATGAGTAGAAGTGAGCTCCCTCAAGCACTGATATCTTTTGAATAAAGGTCTTTCTCAGGGAACTGGATGCTTCCAACCTGCCCAGGAGCCTGGGACACACTTGCCCCTTGGCAGTCCCCTGGAGGTGAGTCACAGCGAAGAAGACAGTTCCCTGTGGAAGGAGGCCACCCACCGGGGCTTCATTATCCCGTACAATGTAAAGTAATTGCGTCTGTTTAGCCAGTACCTGATATGACCCCAACACTGTGGTAGGTGTTTCCTATGCTTTATCCTACTTAATCCTCCCAGCAGCAGAGAAAAAAGTAGGCGGTTATTATTCATATGTTATCAAGGAGGAAACTAAGGCTCAGAGTGAGGAACATGGTATGCATTCCTTGCCCTCTGCCTCTTGAAATCTTACTCATGGCGCAAGGTCCAGTTGTGGCTCCTTTCCCTCTCCTGGGAGCATCTCCATCCCTCTGTGTCTGCCTGTATCCTGTCTCCTGTGGTACCTGGGCAGTAGGCCATGGATCTGTGAGTCTGTGTCAATTGCTGCACTGGACTGGGAGTTCATGGGAGGCAGAAGCTGGTCTGGCTGTGCTCTGTGGATTAGATTGGGCTTTAGTTTCCAGACTAGGTCAGCACCCACAGGTAGTGATAGCAAGCAAGAATATAAGGCTATAACAGTGAAAGTAAGTCCTAATCCTCACATGTACCCTACAGGCTGACATGGTGATTCCTATTAAAAGTAATAAGGAAACACTTCCAGTGATCTTGAGTCACAGGACAAGTGGAGGACCTGGATTGAAACCCTAGCTTCAAGCTGGGCGTGGTGGTACATGCCTGTAATTCCAGCACTTGGGAGGCTGAGGCAATAGGATTGCCATGAGTTCAAGGCCAGCCTGGGCTACATAGTGAGACCCTGTCTCAAAAAACAAAATAAAACAAAAACAGTGAATGAAATCCTGGCCTACCTAATTCCAAAGCCACACTTTTTGTTGTTGTTGTTGTTACTGTTTGTTTGTTTGAGACTGGGTCTTGCTATACAGTTCAGGCTGGCCTCGAACTCATGGCAATCCTCCTGCCTCAGTCTCCTGAGTTCTGGGATTACAGGTATGCACTCTTTTCATTGTGTCAAGGAGCATGCCTGTGATTTCAGTCTTGTGATTCCTCTTTTATGTTTTCCACCATATCCCCAAACTACCTGTGAGATTAGTCAGTACTTTTTCTTTAAATGAATTCACTTAAAAGTACATTTATTCTAAAAGAAGCTTTAGCTGCAAATCTAGTTGTCATTTGCAATAATAAATTAAATTATCGATTACAATAACCGAGTTTATCCAGGTGTATCTACTATCATTTTGTAGTACATAAACCCATACCTCATATTCCACATGCTTCATGCGTCCCCATGGCACCTTTCAGATCTTTTCTCTGTCTGTATGGCCTGTTGTTCATTTTGCTACGATACTCAAATCCTAAAGTGCTGGAGGAGACCTGAGAGGTTCATTCCTCCCTGAGTCTGACAGAGCTGAGTGACACGCCCACAGGCACATGTGAGACAGTGGTCAGGTGGCCCAGGTCCCCCAGAAGCTTTTCATTGCTCACATTCCACTGGCCACAACAAGCCATGTGGTGCCACCTTATTGCAAGGGACAGAAAGTGAAGACTCCCATATGCCCAGAAAAGAAAGGAGAACCAAATAATGGGGCACTTTTAGTGCATCTCCTACACATCATTCCTTTGTGGTGGTGGTGGATTATTTCTCTTCTGTAAATGAGGGAACTGAAGCCCACAAAGACGAGTTGACCAAAGCCACAGTGACAGACAATGGTGGCCCAGGATTTAAACCCGGGCAGTAGAGTTCATGTGTAAAACCCAACTAGAGCGCCTATAGTCAGCAGTGTTAGTTTCCTATGGCTACAGAAATTAGTATATTTAGGCCCCACGGAGATAATCTGGCATGGCCTCCCCATGCGAAGACCTTTAATTCAGTCATGCTTGCAAAGACTGCTTTGCCATATAAGATAACATGCTAGGTTCTGAGGATTAGAACGTACAGATTTTTGGCACCATTATGCAGCCTCCCACCGTCTCCATGAGAGCACTTGTTACTTGGATTCCAGTTGCCTTTGGTCTGTCCATTTCTTGGGGTCCTGTTTACCTTCTCCCTTGCAGAACAGCAATTTGTCCCTGTTCATCTTTTCTTCTGGAACTGAGCTCCCTAAAGGCAGGAATTGTGGCTGATTCACCATCCTCTCTGGGGAGCTGGATGCATACAAAATAACCTAATTGTGGAGTGATTCTATTGAGTGAACTAAAATTTCCCTTGAGGGCATCAGAAACTGCTGTGGCAAAGAAAGAGCCAGTGAATGGTGACACCCCAATAAACCACCTGTGCTTGAAGATGAGAAGCAAGTGATTAGCTGTTCAGGGCTTGTGTAAGACTGCTTTACCTTACCATTGCCTGCAGCCCACATGCTGAGCAGGTGAGAGTCGAGGAGAAAGTTGGCTGGGCTCTCACTAGTGCCTTTGATTCATTGACTTATTCAGCAAATGTTTATTGACTATCTCCACATGTTAATAACATCATTAGCTGGAGCAGCTGTGGCCTTAGGAACCTCTTTTTGGCGCCATGTGGGAAGATGTTAGGAGATGCTTATGTGTGCAGTCCACAGGCAAATTCCCAGCCAATGAGGAAGTATACAAAGAGGTTCAAAAGAGCTAGGCTCAAGTCCTAATGTTGCTGTTCCCTCGGACAAATCATATCTCTCTGGAGTGTCCACATGCACCTGTCACTGTATTGCCATATTGTTAAATTGTAATTACATACAATTTTAGCATATTCCATTCATAGGATGAGTTCCTTCAGGAGAGGACAGTCTATGCCACTGTTTTCTCGTTTACTTTCTTAGGACCTGGCATATCATAAACTCTTTGTAGGAGTAGTAATACTAGTGCTCATTATGTCTGAGCTCTGTATTATGTGTGTTCGTGGTAACTCCTTTCATCTTTGTAATATCTCTATGAATTAGGAGCTATTATTATCCACATTGTGCACTTGAGGAATCTTTGAGACACTGAGAGGTTAAGTAAGTTGTCTAAAGTTACACAGTTAACAAGTGGTAGAGAACATATAGTTGCGCAATTAGTAAATCGAAGGCCTCTGTACAAGTTCATGGTTTGAACTATTCCGTACAACACAATAGAATAAAGTATGAATTGAGGACCCTGAAAACCTTTAACTCCCATTTCGTGTGGGTCTCTAAAATACCTCTCTGCAGACTATAAAAAGGGACATCTCTGCTGTAGCAGTATGGATCAACACTGAGGCAGGCTGGGGTCTCCTAAGAGTGGCAGTTTGAATCCTGGCTCTGCCTTTTAAGTAACCCTGAGAAAGTTACCTAAATTCCTTAAATGTCGGTTTCCTAATAGGGCAAAAGGACACTAATATATATTTTGCAGGAAGAATAAAATAAAAATAAAAAAGTAAAAGAATAACTTATAGAAAAGTACTTGGCACAGAGATAGCTCTCTACAGAAAGTAGTGCATTTTAGAACATAATTGCTACAGTGTTGAATATTCCTCTTTAGAACATAGGTTAGTGGAGGAGCTAAACTGATCAACTTCTCAAGGATCAGCCCCCCCGCCCCATGTGTATATATAGACAGCCTTGCATAAATTGCTGGGAATGGGTGGAACATATATTGGAATGAGTAGCAACCAAGGAGTGAGGAAACATGTCCAAATACCAGCTCTGCCATCATCTTCCTGTGTGATCTGGCGTTTGGCAAGTCACCAATTATCCTTGGGGTTCCAAGATGAGAGAGTGGAATGGGAAGATCTCCAAGGCCTCAATGAATACTACCAGTATAGAAATTCCCAAGCCAAGTTCTTCAATGAGTGAAAATTCATTCGGTATCCACGTCTATCTACCAAAGAAGCAACTGTTTTCCCTTCCCACTGGCATTGCTAGGTATATGAAGTGCATACAGGTGAGAGGTATTTTTGCCCTGGCAAACTAGGTCCCTCCTTTCTCAAGCTGGCAAGTACTGTAGCTCCAAATACCCCCAATCTATCCTGGATAAAAATTTTTAGTCAACAAACAGGTAAGAAAATTGAACAAAATTAAAATATCCTATAAATTCATCACCCAGAGATGATCACTATGAAAATTTTGGCAGATATCCTTCCAGATACTTATCTATGAATTTTAATTAAAAATTAGACCCAGTTATATCACATTGGTACAAAAAAAACTCACCACAGAGCTTATATATAGGAGGTGTGCCTATGTCAGAAGTTGGGAGGTCAGGAAAAGCTACGCAAAAGAAATGTCTAGGTGATTTTTAGGACAAGTATGGGAGAGCCGAACAGTGTTCCATACAAAGGGAACAGCATGTGAGAAGACCCAGAGGCCTGGCACCCTGAGAACAGAAATAGGTTCTGTGCCACTAGAGTTTGCAGGGTAGGTAACAGAAGACGAACTACAGAGATGTGCAGGAAACAGATGCGGATTGGCATTAGTTTACTCAGGCTGTTACAACAAAATGCCATACACTGACTGACTACAAACAGCAGAAATTTGCTCTTCAGTTCTGGAGGATGGGAAGCCAAGATCAAGGACAGCTGGCAGCTTCTATGTCTGGTGAGGGCACCGGTTTGATAGATGGTGAACTCTTTTAGGCCTATTTTATAAGGGCCTATAATCACCTTCTAAAAGGTCCCACTTTCTAATGCCATCACTAGGGGTTTAGGTTTTACATATAAATTTTGGGAGAACATAAACATTCATATCATAGCTAAGTGACAAGATTGGTATTTTAAGATCACCCTGCCTTCAATGTAGAGAAGGGATTGAAGAGCAAGACATGAGTGAGTGACACATTAGGAAGCTACTACAATCTCCTAAGTGAAAAATATCACTGTGGCCAAGACTGGGTCAGCTTTAGTGGAAATGGAAAATGAATGAAAGGACATTAAAAAGGCAGGAAGGACAGGACTTAGTGACTGGATAGCAGAAGGATGGATAGAGGAAAGCTTTAAGAATGTCTCAAGTTTCTCTCTGACATGCGAATGTAAAGCCGAGTTGGATTTGGGACAGAAAGATGTGTTCAACTTGGGTCACGTTGAATGAGGTTCCCTTGGGACCTAAGTGGAGGTGTGAATATCTACTCAGCTGAGGTCTGGGCTGCATGTGGCTGTGGGCCCTGAAGACTTGGAGGGATGAGACAGCTCCAGGCACACCAATTCTCAAGGGATATGAAAGGGATTCGGCTGTAAAGAGGCTCCGAAGAAGCAGCCAGAGAGATGGGAAGAAAATCAGGGGTGCCTGCTATCACGGGAACCGAAGGAAAGGAGTCGGCCTTCAGTGCTTGCACATTCTGATGCAGACAGATCCCTCACACTTTCTCAGGGGCTGACCTCATTTAATCCTTTCAAAGACTGGTGAAATGGGGGTCATCACGATGCAATTTCAGAAGAGGAAACTAAAGACCACGGGGGGAAGGGGAGGCCAACTTTCCACAGTCATCAGGGTCGTTGGCACACTTCATTAGCCGTGTTTGAACCACTGACAAGCCGGGCACGTAGAATTCTACCGTGCCCTCCATTCACCTGTACCTTTGCCTAGCACTCTCCGACGGCTCACCTGCAACATTTCTAGTGCTCACAAGAACCACGACAGTGTGACTTTTACCTCAAGTAATATACAAAGGAGGTGCCAGCAAACCAAGAGCAAGTGTGTGGACTGGTCCAACATCACATATCCTAGCAGATGGCTGGGGTGGGCACTTCGATCTCCTGGTCCCCAGCCCTCGGCGGTGGCAGTACAGCAGGCGCGAAAGGAGGCGGTGTCTCGGGCGGGAACACCCCGAGGCGCCCCCCGCCCGGCGCTCGCCCCCGCGCATGCCTGGCCGCTGAGGCGTGAGAGCCACCGCCCCGGGCCCTCCCTCCCGCGCGCCTTGCACAACCAGCCCAGATAAGTGCTGCGTCTCTGGGCAATTACCGCCTTCCGCCGCCGGGGCTGGCTGGGCAGAGGGCCAGAGGCCGAGGGACTCGCAACCACCCAAGGAGAGAGGTGCCCGCCGAGCCTTCAGCCACCACTGCGGAGCGCGATTTCACAACACGGAGACGCGGGGCGGGGGCAGAGGGACGGCGCGGCGTTGTGACGTCACAAGCGACCGCGCCCCCAGGAAGCCCCATCAGGCCCCGCGCCCCCGGGAGAAAGCGGTGATGTTGGCGGCCGTCTTGCGTTTGTTGTGTTTCTGTTCTTTGTTGTCATCTCCTTGACTTCTCTTTCTTCCCTTCTGACATCTCTTTTCCTTTTCATCCCTTCCGGTCTTCTTTCTTCCTTTCCCTTGTTCTCTTTTTCTCTTCCTCTCCATTCTTCTCCCCGTTCATTTGTAATCTAAAAAAATTTTCAAATTACGTTTTTAATTGCACAGAAACATAAAACTTAGCATCTTAACTAAATTTTAAGTTCACATTTTTGTGCAACAGATTTAGAGCTTTTTCATCTTGTAAAACAAACTCTACGCCAATTGAACAACTCCGTATTCCCCGTAACGCCCTTAAGTGACCGCTGTTCTATTTTCTTTTTTCAGTTCCTCCTTTCCCCTTTTTATGCCTGCCCCCCGTTTATCTCTGCATTCTCTTTCTCTTCCGATATCTAACCTTTCTTCGGCTGCTGAAAACCCTAATGGCCCCGCTGCACCCTTGGCAGCCCTCTCCAGCCCCTGCCGGGCTGGGCCAGAAGGCCTGTCAGCGAGGCTGTTAGAGGGCCGGTGAATCATCATTCCTCCCCCGTGTGTCAGGGCCAGTGGGCGGCCCCTGGAAACCTCACCTGGCGTTTGCTGGTAGGCAAACATGTCCTGCAAGAAACTCCTGCCAGGGGGAGTTAATTAGAGAGGCTTTGAGTCCCGCAGAGTCAGAGGGTCGGGCTGGGAGCCCCTCTCTCCTCTGGACCTTCCCCAGCCCTGGGGCTCCCCTTCTAGACACTATGAGACAGCCATGATGTTGCTGTGGATGATGGTGATAACTTGGACTGATACAAAACTTCGCAGTTTACAAAGCTCTTCCATAGACATGATCTCATTCTTATTCTCACAGCCATCCTGGGAGGTACTCCTCTTTATTCCCATTTTACAGGTGAAGAAATTGAGGCTCAGAAAGGCGAAGGGATTTGCCTACCTATGACCACAAAGTTGCTAAGCTGACAACATAGAAATATAGATCTGTATCATCACCCACCCCTTTCCCGTGACACACACTTGCTAGGTCTAAGTTTAAAACATTTTTAAAAAATCATTGTTCTCTCTTACATGTTGCCATTGCAACTTATTTAGACCCCTTAAGAGTAGGTGAGTTTGAGTGTGGGGGAGCAACAAAGAGTGAACCAATGTGGACGCATTTGATGGTATGCATCACAAGTACACAATAGCTAATACCCAAGCAGTGAAGAGATTTTTAAAAATCAAATAGCGTTCCCACTAAGATGCTTCCAGGTTGTCTGAAATTTTGACTTTCCATACAGGGAATGTATTGCTAAAACAGGGGACTTGTGAGTATGGCTGCAGCTGCAGATCTTCCCTCCTCTTCTGAGTGGAATCTGTTTGGTGAGATGGTTCACATTTGAGAATATTCTACTTCAGTTTGCTTACAATACGTGGTGTGGAAATACTTTTTAGCATCTTGGATAGTTTTGGTAGATTAGTAATGTTCACCCACATCCAATACTTAGAGAAGTACATAAATACTTCTGGGTACATGGAAGATATACTTCCCTGTCGTCTTGAAGTAAAGCATGGTGGTATTATTTTGGGCCAGTAAGTGTAGTTAGAAATGATATTTGTCACTGTGGGCTGGATCATTAAAATGCTGGTGCTCAACTGGTGCCGCTGCTGCTGCTGTTCATGTTGTTCTCCTTTGTATGACCAAGTAGGCCACACACTCCAGGATACTTGAGCTGTTTTGGACTGTGAACATAGAAATAAGTAAATTTTGATGCATGAAGCCACTCAGATTTGGGCTGTTACTATAGCTTAATCTAGCCTAGTCTGACCAGTAAAGAACACCACTCAATGAGTGCTTAGTAAATTTAAAAAATGTAACTTTCATCTTTTGGAACAAGATTTAAATAAAGACAAAAATTCATATCTACAATTTACTAAAAATTAGATTTGATTTACATCGTCTTCCCTTAATATCTTTTATCATATTTTAAAAAGTGTTTCAAAGCGCCTCATTGAGATATAATTGACATGTAATAAACTCCCCATATTTAAGTTGTACAATTTGATATACTGTATTTTGCTATATATGTGAAATCATTGCCACAGTTATGGTAGTGAATCTGTCCGTTACCCACAAAAGGGTCCCTTTGAAATCCCTCCTTCATCCCTTCCCATGGTCCTCACAAAATCATTAAGCAAACGTTGATCTGCTTTGACCACCATAGCTTAATTTGTATTTGCTAAAAGTTTATGTAAATAGAATCTTACAGTGTCTAACTCATTTTTTCTGCCTTCTAACTAAATCTCATTCTTTCAGAGTAATCCAGATTATTGCCTGTGACAGTAGCTCATTTTTTTTACTTTTCTGAGTATCATTTCATTGTATGAATATACAACCATTTCTTTATCCATTTCTCTGTTGATGAACTTTGGTTGTTTCTAGGTGTTAGCATTTCCAATAAAGTTGCTTGTGAACATTTGTGGACAAGATTTTGTGAATATGTGCTTTAATTTCTCTTGGGATACCTGTGATAGGGATGACTGGATCACATGGTAGGTGGTGTATGATTAACTTTTACAAAAACTGCCAAAATTTTTTAAAATGTGGTTCTACCATACATTCCCATCTTTGGTGTATAGTGGGAGTTCTAGTTTCTCCAAATTCTTGTCAATGCTTTGTATGGCAGACTACTTTTTTTATTTCATCAATTTAAGCAACCATGATTCTTCTTTTTGTCTCGGCATTTGTATGTTCTGGATATTTCATTATGGGAGATGGTACAAAGAATAAATGGAATTATATGATATCTAGACTGGCTTCTTGCTCTTAACCTAACATTTTTAAGGTTCATTCATGTTATACATGTTATAGCACAATTCAGTGCTTCATTCCTTTCTCTGTCTGAATAATACCACATTTTGTTTATTCGTCAGTTGATAGACATTTGGGGCTTTTCTGCATATAGCTATTGTGAAGAGTGCTGCTATGAACACTTCTGTATAGGCTTTTCTTTAAATACCTATTTTCAGTTATTTGGGGTATACACCTAGGAGTGGGGTTACTTGATCATATGATAATTTCATGGTTAGCTTTTTGAAAACCTGCCAGATTTTCTACAGAGGCTGCTTCATTTTATATTTGCATAAGTAAGGCACAAAGATTCCAATTCCTCCATTTCTTTGCTAACAGTTATTTTCCATTTTTTAAATAATAGCTATCCTAATGATTGTAAAGTGGTAGATTCTTTCATTGCTTTTGTTTTTTAAAGACAGTTTCACTGTGTGTACAATTCTAGGTTGCCAATATTTAATGTAGGATTAAACATTTTGCCCTACTCTGGTCTAGTTTGAAATGCTCCCAATAACAAATCTGCTGTCATCTTTTTTCCACTGTACATAATGTGTCTCTTTCTCTGATTGCCTTGTAGAGTTTCTCTTTATCATTTGTTGTGATGTGCCTTGGTGTAGTTTTATTCTTATTTCTTCTCTTTTGGATTCATTGGGCTTCTTGGATCTCTGCATTTATACTTTCCAACATAATTGGGAATTCTAAGTTATTACATTTATTTTTAACTGATACATGAGAATATATTAATGAAGTAACCCACGGTGTTTCAATAAAATTGGGAAATTGTTTAACATTAACTCTTAAAGGTTTTTATTGAGATAATGTACATAGCACGATTCATCTTTTAAAAGTATCCAAATTATATTATTATATGTGTACATGATGTGTGTCCATCACCAAAATCAATTACATTTTGTCTTTTTGAGAGAGGGTTTCGCTATGCAGTTCAGCCTCCCCTTGAACTCACATTGTAGCTAGGCTGGCCTCGAACTCATGCCATCCTCCTGCCTCAGCCTCCTGAGTGCTGGGATTACAGGCGTACACCACCACGCCCAGCATCACCAAAATCAGTTTTAAAGCATGTTTGTTACCCCAAAGAAAAATTCTGTTCGTTTTAGCCATCAGTTTTCAATTCCCCCGACTCCTGCTTATGCCTCTCCAGGTGACCACTGTTTATTTTCTGTCTTTTATATTTGCCTATTTTAGATATTTCAAATTAAGAAGTCATATATGTGGTCATTGGCAATTATTTCTTTAAACTTTTTCTGTACTATCTTCCTTTAAGTATTCTCATTTGCTTAAAATATACATATATATTGTCTTGTGAGACAGGGTTTCACTGTGCAGTTCTTGCTGGCCTTGAACTCACTTCGTAGCCCATGTTGGCTTCGAACTTACAGCAATCCTCCTGCCTCAGCCCCCTGAGTGCTGGGATTATAGGCGTGTGCCACCACACTCAGTTTGATGACAAATTTTAAATGAGCACTCAATACTGTTTGGCAATGCTACCACCCTTCTCTATGTGCTCACTTCCCACCCACCAGAGTTATCACTTCTGTCTTTACTTCCTTCTTCCCCCACTTACTGAGGACCATCATTACTGACTATCCCATCCTCACCTCAAATTTCCCTGAAAAAATGGAGGCAATTGGACAGAAAATCTTTATATTCCCACCATGCCCCCACTTTGGTGGAATTTGTGTTTATGTTCCCTGCCTGTCTTTGTATTGCTGTGGAAGAAGCATGATTCATTTTGCTTTTTACCAAAATTTACCACTTCACTTGTGAGCCAGATCCTCTGGTCTCTTGCTTTCTCAAAGGACTTTGCTTCTGTAATTCTTCTGCCATCTTGGCTGTATCTCATTTCTTTCTCTCCACTTAGGTCATTGCCAAAAAAAGTGGTATATATTTTTGTCTACTGAGGTAGACATACATCTACCTCAGTATGTCCAGTGTTTGCAGAGCCTTCCTTTAACCCTGTGTCTTCCTGCAGCTGTTGTCCCTTTTCTCCACTGTCCTTCACAATAATCTTTTCCAGAGAGTTGTCATCTGTCCCTACTTCCTTGCCTCCAGTTCTCTGCTGAGCTCTCTGCAACTGTGTTTCTCTTTCCTCTAGCCCTGAAGGATGGGTTTCACAAAGTCCGTGATGACCTCCAGTGGTCGCTTTATCACTTCTCTGTCCTTACTTGATTTCTAGAAGCATTTGATACAGTTAACCACACCCTTCTTGAGCTGCTTTTTACTTGGCTTCTGGAATATATCTTTTAAATTACCCCTTTGTGATCTCTTTAGCTAGCTGCTTCATTAGCTGCTTGACTTTTAAATGTCAGAGAGCTACAAGTCTTGCCACAGCTCTTCTGTAGCTCTATTTTCTCTCCTTGTAGCCTCTTCTAGTCTAAGGCTTCAGATATTATCTCTGTACCAGTACCTCTGAAAACTCTAACTCCAGCTCTGTGTACCTCTCAAAACTTCAAATTCACATATACCCAAACTCATATTTGATATCTCCTCTTGGATGTTGAATGTGCCTCAGACCTATCCCCAATCTTGCTTTCCCATCCACCAAGTAAATAACACTTATGCAGAGACGTGATCTGGCCTAAAATCTTGAGACTATCTTTGATTTCTTGATTTCCTTACCCAGCACCCTCAAATTCTGTCTGACATCCCTGTGACTGTTAAACCTGATTGTGTCAACTCAATTGGCCTGTGAACCACCCCGGGAATTGGTGGAGCACACTTCTGGGTGGGTCATGGAGGCATCTGGTCTCTCCCCCGTTCCTTTCTGGTGCGGTTCCCCTGCTCTGTTTTTCAGCTGGCACTAACTTAAGTATCTTTGTTCTACCATGCTCATGTACCTTCATGTTCCTAAAGCCTTAGTGCCTGCTGGCCGAGGACTGAATCCCGTAAAACTGTAAGCTAAATTAACCCCTCCTCCTTTAAGCTGGAGGTGTCAGGTACTGTGTGTAGCAGCAGGAAAGCTGACTAATACAGTCCCCTAGAACTAATCAGGATTGGAAACTTCTCTTCATTATCACTCTTATACCTTAGTCCCACCCAATATCAACTCTTACCTATAATGGGAAGCAGCTCTTCATAGTCTCTGTCCTGTTGCCCTACTTTCCATTGTCTACTCAGGACCAGGATGATTATTGAAAGTGTTAATTAGATCATGCCAACTGTGATGGTTAATTTTATGTGTCAGCTTGACGGGGCTAAGGGATGCCGGGCAAACATTCTTTCTAGGTATCTGTAAAATTAGCATTTGAACCAGTAGGTAGAAAAGATCTACCCTCACCAGTGTGGATATGCATCATCCAGTGCATTAAGGGCCTAAGTGGAAAAAAAGTGGAAAAGGGTAAATTTCTCTTCCCTTTTGGACCTGGGACATCCATTTTCTCCTCCTTTAAGGCATTGACTCTCCTGGTTCTTGGACCTCTGGATTTGGGCTGGAGCTTAATTGGCTCTCCTCATCTTCAGGCTTGGACTGGAACTATACCACTAACTTTCCTGCACCACCAGCTAGCAGAGAGCAGGTCGTGGGACTTCTCAGCATCCAAAATCACACGAGCCAATCCTTCATAATAAATTTCTCTGTGTATCTCTATATACCCTAATGGATCTATTTCTCTGGAGCACCCTGACTATTATACCAACTCTTCTGCTTAAAACTCTTAAGTGGCTTTTCTGTGCACCAAGAACAAAGTCCAAATTCTTTCACCTGGTCTACAAACCTCTCTGTTACCTAGCTTCTGTCTACTTCTGTCTGTTTCCAGCTTCTTTTCAAGTCACTCCCTTCCTCATCTAAGCTCAGTTACTCTGACCTTCTTTCTGTCCATTTATCACAGACTTTTTCCAGCCTGAAGGTTTTTTCACTTTTTCATTTTTTCCAGCCTGAAGGATTGGAATTCTTTTCTTCCAGATCAACCCACATGTAGTACCTGAAAATCTCAAGACCTCAAAGAGAAGCTTTTGGAGACAGCACTTTTAGAATCAAGTAGGGAAGTAGTTATTGAGGGGCAACCTGTTACCCTCATGTACAGACTGTCCAGGGGATCAGTTTTGTTGCTGGAGCAGGCTTGGGGATGGAGACGTGAGTACAGTTTGGATATGTTGAAATGGTGGTGCCTGTTGGGTGTGTGTAAGTCTGCAGCCCACAGAAAGATTTGGACTAGGTTTAGAAACTTAGGGATCAGCATCAGCATCAGCATCAGCCCAGAGTAGTGGAAGCTGTGGTGGAAGATGAGATCACTCAGAGAGTAAGGGGTGCATCCATAGCAGAGTCACAATCCTGGATGACACCTCGGAGCTCTGAGCCTCTATGAGACTCTGACATGTGTCTGTGTGGCCAAAATTAAGTCATCAACCAATGTTCCCAGTGGGAACCAACAGTCACTGGCATAATCCAGAAGGAAAGGAGGAAGGAAGGAAGGGAGAAAGGGAAGGAGGGAGGGAGGAAGACATGAATGACATGTGGCAACAACTTCAAGGTTTTCAATTTCAGCCATGCTCCTAGTGGCACTTGTCAGTATTTTTACTCATCCTTTTACTTCTTACAACAGTATTCATGCCACATTTTTATTTTTCCACACCCCTTCTTGTATGTCCCATTCATAAAGCAACTGAGACCAGCAAGTGTGAATTTCCTTCAAATCCAACGATCCTGAGACTAGGGTGACCAATACATCCTGGTTTACCTAGGACTTTCCTAGGTTTGACAATGTAAGTTCCATGTCCAAAGAAACCTCTCCATTCTGAGAAAACCAGTGTGGTGGGTTAACCTACCTGAGACTCAAATTACATGACTTCTCAGAGGATGTTTCCATGAGATTGAATAGTGACGTGCATTTACCAGTGGCCTTCTCTGTGACACACCCTTGTTTCTGTTCTTCCTCATCTCTGCTTCACTCTCCTTGTCCCATACTGCTGCTCCCTAATAAAATAGTAGCCCAGCAGCCTTGTACCTGGGGCTCTGCTTTCTGGGGAGCCTAGATTAAGTCAAAGCAGTAGCATGACTGCTATTCTGATGATATGCCTAGGTGTCATGGCAGTGGGAATAGGATTGTGAATTCATCAAGAGAAGAGTTTCTCTGCAATTCACATAAGTTACTTGTGAGCCCAACCAAGGCCTCATCTATTCATGTGGGCTATGCTCCTGCTGGCCCTTTTCTCTCACCATATCCCACCTATAATTCATTGCCCAGTCATACTGTGCCATGTTCAGTTCCTGCCACAAGCCGTAGTGCTCTGGACCCCAGCCTTTGCTCATTCCTGGAATGTCCTCCTCACCTTCTTGTGAGCAAATCCTCCTGGTCCCTCAAGAGTCAGCTCAAGCACCACATTCCCTCGGAGCCTGCCAATCCTCCCAGCCAAGGGTGGGGAGAACCCCCTCTTCTCTAACTAATGCTTATCTCTACCCCTCTGTTTCCACATTGTTGTATTTATTACCTCCTTCCTCACTAGAATATGAGCTCCATGAAGGCAGGGATTTGGTAAATGAAGGGATGAATTCTTGCAGCAGCTTTGTGAGGTCAGTTGTGGTGACCCTGTGTCCAATTACAAGAAGAAAAATTAAGACTAACAGAAGAGAAGAAATATGGGAGATTAAAGGCAGAGCCAGGCCAGGGGCTCTTTCTGTCCTACTTTGTTTCTCCAGACAAAATATTCATGGCTTTTTCAAGCACTGTGATTAGAGGGCAGCCAGGGACTAGAGTGAGAATCTCAGGGGACTTCCAGCCCAGTCCTGGCCAGGCTTCCCTCCTGTCTGCAGGGCAAGCTCCCAGCTCTATCGCTGCCCAGATGTCTCCTGCTGCCAACTCTACAAGGCTGCTGCAGGCTTCCACCTGCTCCAATTTTCAGCTCTCCTTTTGTTTTGATGTTGGAAATGCCCTCAATTTCCTGTAAGTTCAGCTCTATATTTAAAATGATTACAACACCAAACCAAACCAGAAACTATCCAGCATTGCTAGGTGTTTGTGGCGGAGAACTCCCATGTTCTTTAACCTGCCATCTTACCAGCAGTTAATTTCTCTCTTGTGTTTAGCCTTCATCTCTTCCCATACTCTCATTCCACTTTAGAGTGGTTTCTCCAAAGGTGAAAGGCAGATGTGTACAGAAACCCAAAGGGTTGCCTCTCCCAACCCTACATTTATTACGGAAGCTACCCTAGAGAGAATTGATCTGGGACTGAAGATTTGGAGTTGGTGCTTTCCAGTCAAGGAGGTTGCTTGCAGTGTCCTGTGAAAAGATGTGGGTCAGGGGTGGGGAGATCAGATTCACGCCCAGTGTGGGCCCTTCCCAAGCCCATTGCCAGCCCCTTGGCTCTCTGCTATCTACACAATCAAGTCCATACTCCCTGGCCTGGCCATCAGGCCTTTTTTTTACCTGCCCTGTTGACCTCTCCAGGTTTACCTCCCCTTCAACTAGCCATATGAACTACCTGACATTTCTCAGGTGTTAGCCCATCTTTCCTGCCTCCAGACTTTGCTTCATGCTTTCTCTCCACCCTTTTGTCCAATATTTTGCCCCACAACTTCCTTGACCAGGTCTAATATCATCTCCCAGGAAGATAGAAGCATTGTTCTTGTACTAGATGTTCCATAGCCTGAGTCTTGCCTTTCCTGTGGCCTTGTTGAGCATATTTTACAGTTGCCATGGTCCATGTCTGTATAGTCCTGAGAAGAAGACAACTTCACAGCATGTCACTTTGGTGTTTTGTTTGCAGTGCTTAGGATGGAATCCAGGGCCTAATGCATGCTAGGCACACATGTTTGCTGAGTGGCACCCCCTGCCCTTTGTTCTTGGCAGGTACTCAAACCATTTGTGTAGAGTGATGAGAACAGGTGGATGTATGGAGACCTTACCAAAGTAGTTGCTTTTCCTGGTCACTGGGCAGTGACCATCATGTGGCCCTTGTGAACTTAATGGATGGTGACTGTGAGGTTGCTCTCAAATTTTTCATCCAGAGGCTCAGAGGTAACAGGGAGCACAAGTTTTCTGTTTTTTTGTTTTGTTTTGTTTTGTTTTGTTTTGTTTTGTTTTGTTTTTTTTTTTGGTTTTTCTCCAGTACCAGGAACCGAACTCATGACCTTGGACTTGCCAGGCAGGCGCTTTTGCCACTGAGCTAAATCCCCAGCCCCGGGAGCACAAGTTTTCTATGAATGAAACAGAGTTTCCTAGAAGAGGCAAGATACTGCATCCTGAAAGATCCCTTGGCCACCATTATTCCATTGGCTAGATCATGCAGCCACCCTGGCACCTCCACCAGACAATACTTCAGAATGGGAGAATAACTGATGGTGGAGGGATTTTCAAGTACAATGTTGGCACAATGAGTTTAATTCTGGCATGATGAGTTTAGCCCCTAACTCCTATATCAGGTATACATCCACCTTAGAACCAGCTCCTGGTATAGAACTTAAATGAATAAATGAACCCTCCAAATTAAAGTTAGAAAGACCCATAGTGCTCACTACATCTGATGTACATTTTATGAAAAAATAAGTAATAGTAATAACTATTTATTGAGAGTTGACTTTGACAGGTACCATAGTGAGCACTTTACACACTGAACAATAATGTGAGGTGAAAGTTATCATCCCTACTTTATACACAGGAGATAAATAGGGAAGGCACAGAGAAATTATATAACCTGAACTGGCAAGTACAAAACCAGCTGTGCTCAGAGCCCCTGGCTAACCCTGTGATTTACTGTTTCTCATTGCCTCTGGAAGGAATGGAGACTCACAAAGGCAGTCACTTTCCTGGGGCCCCAGCCTCTTGGAGATAGGATGACCAACTTATCCAGAGGCGTCTTCATCCCTGAGCCTTCTAAGATACTTGGCTACAAAACACCATGAAAAGGTAAAAGAATTTCAAGTGCATTCTAAGAGCCATATCCTTCCTCTTGCTGTGTAGACAGGGAGCCTGCACTCAAAGACCCATCCAGGAAGAAAGATTTGATCTCTTGGGCAGGATCGACTTCCCATGGAGACGCCTATTTGAGTTGAAGCTCTGGTATGAAGTAAGACTTGTTTAAGGCAGTTAAAAGCTGCAATCCCCATTGTGTCGAGTGGTGACAGTATAATCCTCCCTGATAATTTCATTCCTTCTCCAAACTCCCCTCCATTATGCATCCTTAAAATGTGACTTCAGATGCCTCTTTAGGTTTCTAGTCCGATAAGTGCAGGGGGATTTGGCAAGAAGGGGAGAGGGCAAGGATGGCGTTATTGTACTTGGATCACACAGAGATGCTTCCCACGGAAACAGCTCTCCGCCCCATCTGGTTTTTAATTTTTGTTTGTTTTTGCCAGAGATATTTGGTTTTGCTTTTTTAAAATTATAAAGTATATGAGATATGATAAACAATATGACAAATGTTAAAATTTTTAAAATATTTATTTTATTTTATTTAAATTTTTAAAATAGTACAGTAAAAGGTACGCTGCCATTAGTCCCCTTCTTTTATTACTTGTAATTAAGAGGTTGAGGTCATTTACTACTTGCTTACTCTAAAGTACAGGTCATAAACAAAAGGCAGGATAAAGCCTTGGTTCTTTATCTTTGTTTATGTACTTTTTGGAATGATAAATTTATTCTCAAGCATTCTCCAAAGGAATATGCTTGTTATGCCCAATGCCATAGTGGGAAAGGCGGGCAGGCTGAGCTTTGCTGGAACTGCTACTTGGGGTACCTACGCATGTCTTCTCTCACAGGGCAGGCTTCTTACATGGAAGCTCAGCGCTCCCAGAGGACATTTCAAGAGACTCAGGTAGAAGCAGCCAGAAGCCTCAAAAGTTATATATAGCATCATTTCTGCCATATTCTGTTGATTATAAAATGAGGCCCTGGACTGGCTCAGTTTCAAGGGGGACGGTAGTACACAAGCATGTGAACACTGGGCGGTATAGGGCACTGAGATCTTATAGCTACATGGGGCATAAAGCCAAAGACCCTCCTAGCACCTTGGAATGTACTTGGAATGTAGAAGGGTCTGGCTACCCTTAGTTCTGGGTGGGAGTTGACTACAGAAAACACGGCCATGCTCTAGGTGTCCACAGTTTCCCTCAAGGCCAGCACACTGTGGACATCTCCATTGTGAACAAGGCCAACGGTGCATTACCAAGCTTCTGCAACGTTGGATGCCAACTCGCTGCTGGGTGGTATCTCACAAGCTCTGGCTTAAGATGAACACCTGCACTGAGAACACCTCGGAGAGCTTGGCCTTGACCTGTTTAAACATTTGAGGAGAGCCTGGTTCTGAGATCTAGGCCATTCCCTGACCCCGAAGAAACAGCTCCTCAGGACTCACAGGGGTTTGTGGATGCACTAACATTACCATTGCTGTGTGCCCATAATGATGGCTTTGAATGGCTGAAATATTTCACCCAAAACTGGGCGTGGTGGCACACGCCTGTAATCCCGGCACTTGGGAGGCTGAAGCAGGAAGATTGTTGCAAGTTTGAGACCAGCCTGGGCTACAAAGTGAGCTCAAGCCCAGCCTGAACTGCATAGTGAGACCCTGTCTCAAAAAAGGCAAAATAAAATATTTCATCCAGTGAATAGAGCCCATTTTGCTCCACTGTTTCCATGCTATCACTTGCATTTTTATTATTTACAAATAATACTGTATATTTTTGTACACAAATCCTTTTTATTTTGTTGAATTCTTAATATCAATTTTAATATCAATTTTCAAGAGCAGAATAGACTTTTGGATCTTGATGGATATTATCAACTTGCTTCCCCCAAAGCAGTGAACAGTTTCCATTGGTACAGAAATGTATTGTGCATATCAGTACAGTACATATATTTTTGCAGCTCAGTGGCAGAGACAATTATCATTTTACTTGTTTTTGCTAATTTTGTATGTGTAAAACTCAACTTAAGGTTGCTTTGGATTTTTCCCCTATTCTGTTCTAAGTTGTCAGTTTTTCCCTTTCATATCAGCTCTAGCATTTTTAAAGCAATGATATATATATATTTAATAACCACCTTGTTCTTTCATATATTTGTTTGATTATTTTGGTAGTACTGGAGATAGCACCCAGGGTCCTTGCAGTGAACAACATCTTTAACCGTTTTTACTTTGAGACAGAGTATCCCTAAGTCATTAAGTTGTCCGTGCTGGGCTCCAACTTGCAGTTCTTCTGTGTTTGGAATTACAGTGTAGGAATAACAGGTATATGCCACCACACCTGGCTCTGCTCTGCTCTGCTC